TATAGCGAACTAATAATAGATACTCTTTTTTTTTGGCGCGTCGCATTGGTTGTATTTATAGGCGTGTGGAGGCTTTCTAGAAAGTTCAGATTACGTAACAATACAAAGCTACATTTAAGCGTTTACGCACATATATATATTTTTGATTCTTACACTCGAGAAGCTTCTACAACTTTGAAGAATAGGCGGTAGTTTCGCAATACATATTTAACAGTATAAGCTACGTATGTTTCTGAATATAAATTTAATCGAAACAAACTTCGATATTAAGATAAATATATGATAACAAATTCGTCACAACTGCTTCTTCTGCAAAAAAATGGTTCACGATGCCCATGCAACAGAAAAAGGGCTGTATCGAGATATCGTGTGTGTCCATTACGAAATTATCAAGAGAACCTCAAGAACAATATTTAAAATAATAATATAGAAATAATAAATAATAAGAACGTTGATGCATGACGTAGTTCTAATGGACTAAGTGTTTTGTCATACTCTAGACCAGTGGTCGGCAACCTATGACCCGAGGCAATGACAGCTGACCCGCCAAAGGTTGGCTTCACCGTTGCAACCCATGAGGGCACAATCATTGCGCACTTTAAATTTCTCGGCTATGTGAGAAGAACAAAGATATTAAAGGAAAGAGTCACGGCTACAGAAAATTTTAAGATCAATTTTAGGGAAAAATATTCAAGCTGATCGAACTATCTGTGATAAACCTTTTAACCGCAATTCTTCAGGTGTACTGTGTTGTCATTAGTCGAGAGATTCCTTGCTTGCCTGGCGGAAAGTGTTGTCTGTGTGATATATTTGGTGTTTTTATAGGTTTTGAGGTTAGTATATGACAGATTATTTATATTTACAGGTAAATAAGAGTTTCAGGCTATATATATAAGTGACGGTAGTGTGTTATTTGTGACAACAGAACAGACGTTTCTTTTTTCACAGCCCTCGCGGCTGCAGGGTGCCAGACTGAATGACGTAACCATTGCTACTTGCATGGCTGAGACTGAACAACGTGTAAAAATGTACCAAGGAAGTCATTAAATTGTGTTACGAAATCAATAATTTTTTGTTGTTAAATGTATTTGGTGACTAAATCATCTTGTTTGTTTTTGAAAATAATTAATTTTGTTTGTTGTATTTAAATAAACATACATATTTAAATATATGTACCGTATTAAGAGTTATATGATTAACACTGACTCAATAAAATGCTCAATTTAATATATATATATATATAACTGGCCTGCGATCAGAAAAGGTTGCCGATCACTGGTCTAAACTTAGCTATGTTTTAGATATATCGTTAAGCCTAAAGCTACAAATATGGTGATCGATTCAGCCATTGTGATTTTGACCCATTAAGGTAAAAATAAAATTTCACTTTAAAACATCGAATGAAATTAAATCTCTACTCTTCAATAGCGATGAATGAATGGAAAACTAAATTAACAGACTAACTTTAGAAATTTAGACATTCTCATACAAACACA